CTATACGTATATACACCGGTTTTAAGTTAAAAAAAATCCATGAAATGCAGTAATAACAATAATGTGTTTAGAAAGTATCACAGTGATGCTGGTAGCAAGTTCTAATCTAATAGAAGACTTATGTCGTCATTAAACCATTTCCAACATGGTATAGGATAAAGTTAATCACAAAATTTTCTAGTTCTTGTTCTAGTTCTTAGAATAAAATGTAGAAAGTTTTCATATCTCCTATTTCCGTTTTACGTGTACATTCATATACAATTTCTAAATATTTTCTTACTATTTAACTCTGATCACTTGTGAGAACATTCAGATATTATGGTATAAAAAAATTAAAAAATTTTAAATATTTTAAAAATAAGCGGCTCACAGGTTAGTAAAAGCGCATTCTGTTGTCAGCGGTATTGCATTAACCCGTTCGCGTTATCGAATTGCGGAAATCACTGAAAACCGCAGCGCTATGTGTCGAAGCTTATAGTTGGTGTGAGCTTTGAGGTGAGGAAGTTTACAATTTCGCCAATGAAATTTTTTATTACCACAGGAAATAACTGAGGGAAACACAAATATTTGACTGCAAGTTTCCCATTGCCACATGTAGCACTTGCCACAAAACAGCAGCTGAGAATTATGATCATTTCTAGCATATTAGAATCACATAGTACACACTAAGTTAGAGCTATGCTTTGTCTTTATCGCTGATACGTTTGAATTTGTTTTATGTTGATTTTAGCTTAAAATATTTTAGCAACATTATAATAATTACGGTACTTGCAACATGTTGCTTAATATTGCTGTAGTTGTCTGAAATATTTCAGTTAGATTATAACAGTTAATAAAGACTCGAGAGTTCTGTATTATTTTTATTTACAAATTTTTTATTTCTGTAATATATTTGTATATTTAATATTATATTGTCACACTCTTTGCTTGACGAAACAAGAGTTAGTGTATAAAGCGCTTTTACTTAATAGTGTCGGTACTCATTTAGATGTTGCAATCACTATTTTATTGAAGTATGATAATTCAAGTGACTTTAAACAAGTATAGCTTCAAACTCTGTTGAAATATATAATGCATATGTTTTAGCCTTTTATGTTAAAAGTCCATCTAGAACCCAGCTATTGTCCTCCAATTATCCTTACACTTGCTGCTGCTTATTACGTAAAATATTATTATTATTATTATTGTAAGGGGATGTAGCAATGCGACCGTCGGGTCTATTGTGCTCCCTTCTGGGCTTAGAGTAGGTCTTTAAGCCCTGTTGCGTCAATAAAAAGTAGTATAGAACCTACTTTACAGAGTTTTATTGTCTCTTCCGTAAGAATATACATTCCAGGAGCCTATTTCGTATGTGCATTAGCGCAGGGCATTCCAACAGCACATGCGTGGCCGACTCCTCATTCTCTTCACAGAATCTATAGTTTGCCTCCGTAAGTATACCCAGTTTTGTAAGGTGGTGTTTTAGCCTACAGTGCCCTGTTAGGATTCCTGTGATGATTCTAAGTTTTTCTTTTTACGTAAAATATATATACGTACAATTAATTAATAATTGGACAATTAATTAATAATTGACAGAAAGTGATCTATTTGTAAAGACGTGTGTAGATGCATTATGTGTGTTGGTATCTACATAGATTGTTCGAATAAAATATTTGCTTGAAATTAAAATTCAATGTCAATTAACCACATAAAGCATATTTTAGTCATGTAATAAATGTAATGTCTTATTCGGGCGTAAATACCATCGAGCTAAAGCCAAACTAAGCTTATTACAATAATTTGGGAAATAATAGTTGTTTATATCCTATAGAGATATGCAGAAAATTACATTTTAAATAAGTTATTTTCAACAAATAGCGATGTTCTTTACATACCAACCCAACAGTTATGTGAATCGCTTAGAACAGTAATTTGAAGGTGGCACAGATTACTGAACTAAATCAGTTATTTTATGCAAATGACTTCATGATGTGCACATTGGGATTGTTTTGAATAAAATCCAGTTATTTCTCTTAAATGTTGAAGCTATTAAAAAGCAAGTTAGCTTAATTGCTAGTAATTGGCACTGTTAACAATTTTAATTAACACGTCTTTCATTTAACTACTGTCAAGGAATTTCGTACTGGCCTATTGCAGTTTTCCAACAATTTCAAAGATCCATTACTCCATTACTGCAAGTTCAATTAAAAGTAACGATACCAAAGTATACATATGAATATATAAATTTCAAGCTTTCTTTTTAGTGGTTGCAAAATGTTTATCCAGAATAAAAAGCAAAGCTTCTACTTTGGTATATCTCAGTCAACTGATTGAATTCAGTTGTTGAGTGCAACTATTCTGTATTGCTGCTTAGATTTATATTATTTGAAAACGAATTAGTGTAGGATATTATGTTACATACATTAAAATTTCTTTTTTAATAAGCATCACTTCTTTATTACTGTATTATGTATTATTCTCTTAATTTGAATTTCGAAATATGCTTAATTAATTTTAATTACATTTCCTATATTATAATCTGCTTAATTAATTTCAATATATTCAATTTATTTGATTTAAATATTAAAATTATGTTAATTAGCGCTACTGTTATTATAATGAACTTAATAAGAAGTAACCGCAAACTAAATTTTACTCTTAATTCCAATTGAGAATTGATTAAATAGCTTAATTGCAAAATAATCATTTATTTTTTACGTTTATTGAGTGATCACTAATTTCAAAAATTGAAATGAAATCAATCCATGAAATCAATTAGTTCAGCACTTCAATAAAGCGATTCTATTTAAATCAATTAGCATAGTATTAAAGTAAAAGAAAACTGAGTGAATGTTTCAATTTTTTCAAATATGTGGTTCATATAATTGCAATTAAATCGTGATGTTGATAATTGATGGTGTAGATGTTGCTAACATTTTTACTTAATTTATTACAAATATTTATATATACATTTCTGAAGTAGACAAACGGACGCCTGTTCAGAAAACGGAATATGAAGTAATCCGCTTGTATCTCATTAATTCAGGTCAAGCTAAGCATCACTGATGCAGGTGTTCTTAAACTTCATGAACCGAAGAGCTGCATTGGTAGCGGATCTGTGGCTTACTTTTTATATTTTTTTCTTTGTTGAATTATTGAAATCACGCAAAACTAATTAAACTTTAATTTGATTTTTTTTTAAATTAAAATTTATAATATATGATTTAATTGGTAAAAACCAATTAATGATTTTACAATAAGGTGGAAATAGTTTTCAATTTTAACTTTTTTACTTATGAAAATCTTTAATTACTCTCAAGTTTTAGTCACCTTCTTCGACATAGTGTGATATTCTACTTCTATTCCCAAAATGCCATAGAAGTCAAATGCAGCTCATGTAAGTTTTTTAACACTAAATGATGGAAAATTTATCCCATATACCTACTACCAACTTATAAATGACTTGTGTACCTGCATCACGTTTCATTCGGTTAGCCTTTGCTGTGGATTTTCACTACTTGACATTTCTTATAGATGATAGACAAATTCTTTTTCTTGCATTTTTAGATGATATATTCTCACACCAATTAACTGCAATCAAAGTTACTCCGTGCGACACTAAAGAAATTCATTCATAAAACTTCTACTAAAATTATTTGGAAATTTTCAAAATTTGTGATGAGAATATTTCTGGGAAAATTCAAATGAGTGTACAACAATATATCTTTCAGTTCTGAGGTTAACAAAGGCATTTAGGATAATTTGAGATATTCTATATAAAAGATTTCAAATGAGAAGTTTAAATTTATTGACAAAAAGTTACACAACATATATAAACTCATTGATTTTGTTTTTGTATAATAACAAGTATTTCTTTCATCCCTTAGTAAACTCTAAGGAAGACCCATAATAAAATCAATAATAACATTTCTTGACGTCATTTATTGCGAGCCACCTCTATAATTGGCACAAAGAGTAAATAAGTCACCTCCACCGTTTATAGTTGATTTTTTCCAAGTTGTTCTTGGTTGAGTTTTTTCTTCCAGTACACATTATTCTTGATTTTCTGAGCGCCTGAACAATCCATCCAAATTTTTGTTTACTTATATCTATTACGGCGGAACATATATTTGATATCCTGATATTTATTGCTTACTCTTTGACTTCACACGTCCGATTATATTTGAACAATTTCGAGTGTTGTACACCTCTGTTTTATTCAAATTCCATTAATTCCTCTTGTTATGTATATAAAAACTCTTGATGTTGTTTCAGACAATTCTATGTGACATACTAATTTCTAACGTAATTACTTCACCTACAGTTCATTATTTACTAATCACTTTTACTATGTATGGTCTACATATACAGAGTGATTGCTTTTTGTTGGTTACAAATTGTGTCCCCATATTAAGATATATACCCATCATATATTATTAGAATTTTCGGTAAATATAGATTAACTTTATAAAAACTAAAATTTCAAGTATTATTTACTAATGCTAAATGCGCGTTTAAAGTTTTATATTAAAACACTGGTCTGTCTTATATATGTAATATATTTGCAAATATTAGCTTAACCCAATATTTACAGTTTGGGTAATAGATATCAAAAATATTCTAATCTTGTTTTTGCTAATTTGTTAAAAAGGTAGTGTTCTGAAATTCCACCTGCAAGTCTGCAAATATATGCTTAAGAAACTGAGGAACCAGTTCCTTTTATGTAGAAACAAGTTACAACTCTTCTGGTACTTCGGCTTCTATACCAAAACAGTTTACAGCTGCGCAAATCTCTCACTACATCTCTCACGGCGCAAACCAGACAACTACACAGAGTAGAGTATCTATAGATACTCATATGTTTGTCTCCATTCACTCTTTTAAATTGAGCTATTTCTGTATTGAGTTGTTATTATTTTGAGTTAGTCCAATATTTTGAGATATTTGTATTTCAGTTTGTGTTTATTTTATACACGTTTGGTTTGTGCTCCCACTATTTTGATGTTTGGCTTAGTTTGGAACGAACTTCTTCTCAGATTTAACGTATTTGCGGTGGATGAACAAACAGTACAATCAAGTATCAAAAATGTGCGTGTTTCTCTGTTTTTATAAAAAATATTTAAAATATTATATTGACTCACATCGTTAAAAAGTATATCAAAAAAAATTGTTTTTGAAGTGAAAATGTCTGCATTAATACTTACTAAACTTAAAATAATTTGATATATTTTGATTAAACATATTCAAATTGATAACTTAAAGGTGATCATAAATATAAATTAAACAGAAGTAACTTAACAACGATTTCAATCATATGAGTTTTGTTTGTCTAACCACTTGAATTAATCTATATCACTATAATGATATAAAATTGTTTTTCCGTATTATCATGTAGTTATTGATTTGTGCACTTTTCTTGTTATTGAAAGTATCTCGTTATTTAATTACAACATGTTTCGTTTGCTTTCATATTTTTGGTTAATTGAAAGTGATCAGCGAAAGTGATCCCAGCAGATGATCGATCACAGAAACATGCGATGAGAAATGAATTTGAAACAAGTTTGTTGCTTAAATCTTTTGTAATGAATCAGATAAATTATAGGTTGCACTTTTACGAATATATAGAAAATGTCGAATCAAATATTATTTTTTTTTCGTTTAAGTGTTTATTTTAGATATTCCTGAAGAGCAATTTTAAGTTCAACACCAGTGAAAATTTTAATAAAAATACACTCAAAAATACGCCCTTAGTCATATTTAATTTAAAGTCGAAGAAAAATTTCAGTGTAGATTTTTTGTTCGTTTGTACAAAATTATTTTTTAAAATTTATTAAAATTCAATCTTTTTCGTTGATGTAGGATATAGTTTAAAATAAAATTAGTGTGAAATTTATTTAATTCTAATTTTTATTTTTAATATATTTTAATCAAAATTTATATTTGAAGAATATTCAAATTTTTATTGTGTATTAATATACTAAAGTTTAATAAAAATTATTATTAAGTATCAACTTTATACTTGTAGGTTTGGATTAGAAGTTTGTATAATTTTAATTGAAGAAAATAATATAACCTTTTACTTCTTAAAGATGTTCACATGAAAAGCACAAGAAAAATATTGGCTAAGACCAATTTTATTAAAAATTTAAATATGTAACTGGTTTCAAAACTAAACTCCATTAATCTAATCAATGTTTAACTGCTTTCATACTTTTTCATTGTTAATTATCGAATGTTATGGTGCCTTGCGCAACTAAATACTGTCTAGACGGCTTTCAATGTTTCACTAATTTTTTTAAATAAAAAATTGAAATCAAATCAGATAACCAAAATTTGACACTAACACCTAAATGGCGCCAATAAGCATATTATCGAGCATAGTTATAATCGATAAGAAATATTAAAGTTAAACATGTAATTTTTCATGGATTTGTTAGATTTAAAGATTATTGAAATTTTTTATTTCAACTTACCAACACCGCATTATCAAATCTCAGAATGGTTATAGGCTCCTCGGGGAGGTATGCACATCTGAGGTCAATTATTGCTTAGTCTGATGAAGTGATAAACAATAATCGAGTCAAGGCGTAAAGAGGGGTTTTAAAAATACCTCAAGTTAAGAAAGATTAGAAGTGCTCAAGTGCACTGGCTCAAATAGAAATAAATAAATATATTATATGTTATTTATTATTTAAAATATTAAAATAATATAATAATATTATAATAATGTGGTAGTCATCTTTAAGGTATATATCAACAGATCCACTGATATTTTATAACGAATTTCATATAGCAATGTTTCAGATATTTTTTATTTATTTACGTTTCTAATGTAAACTTCAGCATTTGATTTAAATTTATATGTAATTTAAATTTATATGTAATTTAAATTTTTTATTATTTTAACTGATGAATTGCCTTAGTTTTTCCAAATGAATTATTTTTAAAGAAAAATATAATTTAAATTCATTTGAAGTAATTGTGAGAAAACTTGACGCAAGTATCTGTGCAGTGCGTGGCTTTATAAAAAATTATGGTAAATCTTAACGCAGTAACTACGGTAAACAAGTGTGTTCCCCTTCGGAGCGCATTCGTTTGAAATATTTTTTAAAATAAATTTTAAAAAAGTGTAATTAGCAAATTATCGCAGTAATTATAATGTTTTAATAATAATTTTAAGTGCCTTAGTTTAGTTCACAATTATTTGGGGCAAGCAAATATTTTCCGCTGTGCTGCTTTATGAGATTACTGGACCAGCAACAGACGCTCCTATTATTGCCAGTAAACCAAAGCATAAATATATTTCATATTATATTCAAATAACATAAACGACTAAATATTTATTTAAAATTTAGTGAATTGTAAGTAAATTTCTTGAATTATGTTGTAATAATAAAAACACATAACTTAATCTAAAGAAACTGTCGGTAGTGGCACACATACATGGGTCATCTGGAGTATATATATAACATTGTAATATTCAAACAAGGTACTGAAACGCAACTATGTGTGCTAGGAATCTAGTAATTAACAAATGAGAAGATACATAAAAGTAGTAAAATATAATTACCACATACCTTTCTTATATACTCCTTCAAATTATTCCAGTGTGAAATTTTAAAATAACAATTTATTTATTTTATAGTTTGTTTTTAAACTCTATTCTATGAAATTATGTTTTTATACGACATTTGACACTGACAATCCAGTTTTAGTCTCTGCGGCACACTTTTGACTTGTGCTTCACTTCGGACTAATTCTTTAACAGTTCAAATGTCTGTCGAAATTTTTATTATGGTAAATATTATAAGTGTGTTATTCATATACTTTTGAGCAATAAATAGAGATTCCTAGAATTTCTAGTTTTTCATCTCATATTTAGAACTATAAAAAACTCTAAAGGGGTCACATTAGTGTGGCATGAAATAGTTCACTAATCTTTTGAATATGTTTGTTGTCACAGTGAAATCACTGAAAGGGTACTCGCATAGGGAGAAGAACTTAAAAGGCTAAGAAAAGTTCTTTAAAATCACTTTCATCTAAAAATTTTATGGTGACATTAAAGCACAATAATATGATATAAATTAATTTATTATATAATACCATAAACAATTCTTGAATAAACAGTAAATATAAAAAAAATATATATGATACACATAGTAAGAATTGTTGAATCGGATTGTTGAAGATTTATGTTTGACAATACCAACAATTTTGCCAGCAGGTTTATTTTTCAACTGCCATATTTAGTTCTTTAAATTATTATTTAATTTTATACTCTCTTTAATTTTAGTATAAGATGAGATGGCCTGATGAATGCTGTCAGCACACAGTTTTGAAGAGATTATTGCTTAAATATCAGAATGTCGTCACAATGGTGGATGCTTCACAGATATGTATATGAAGTTAAGGGTTGAAAGACATCATTTAAGGTGAGCAACATGTCAACATCATTAAAACAATTGATAACATTTAGCTTATATTTAGTTGTATTTAGTTAGAAGAAAATTCAGAGAAAGAATATATACACAATTTCATAGTTAAAAATCTGCCTCACATGTGTAATTACAGCAGTTCGACTACATAGTTTTTTCTACATAGTTTCAATATATTGAAAGCTTTTGGAATACTGGGTGATTTAAAAAAACTCGGTCATAACAAAATACATCATTCAATCAAATCTACATAGACTTAGAAATCTTTTATTTATAGCTATAAGTTATTAGAGTATCCCAAAAATAATGAACGAACTTTTTAGGTTCATCAATACATGAGACGGATGCATTATTATCTATAACGAATGAATTTCTTCTTAATTTCAGATGCAGTTGAAATAAATTGGCTGGCCAACTATTTTAAATAATATGAAGACGATAGGAGGTCAGAATAACAACTTATTTGGACTGTTAAGCGATTTACAATATTATTGCCCTGTTGCTCCTGGTTGATTTGATGTTAGAAAAATTATTCAATTTATGGCACAAAAACAATATAAAAATATTAACAATGAATTATTATAAAATAATTATATAGTTTCGCAGAGAGACAGAAAATTACACGCAGTACCAATGTCATGGAATGTTAACAATTAGAAAGATTACATATCCTGTAGAAGTCAGATTGCAATGAAATATAAAATGGAATACAAAAAATTCATATTTTTAATTTACTAAAAATAAATAAATGTGAACGGATTAAAAATATTTTCTTATATTTATTTCATTTATTTTCAAGTATTTATATCTTCTTCTCTCCAAGTACGGCAGAGGCAATGTTGTAAGCATTGATTTGTGACGTCATTCAAGTATCGACCCAAGGCATTTACATAGGAAGTGTTTAGTTATTCGTGTATTTTTTTTTTCCAACCTTAAAGGCAGTAGGTTTTTGTATTTTGCTTAAGATAAACTGTGTGTTCGCCATGTTAGTTGGTTTTTTTTTTAAAGTCAGTCACAATTTTCCATTTAAGCTCCAATAATCATAGAAAGTAGTTTTAAATACATATTTTGAGCATTTCTTAATGAGATCAGTAATTGTGGAATAACCAGATGCTCTCGACCTACCATATGTCACGCGTTTACATGCAGACAATTCTTGCAAAATAAACAAGTAGATCGGGCGTACCCTACCCGACGACCACTATGAGGCGGTCGGCCTCGTATGAGACCTCGGTCGGTCTTCCTTACTTTATTTTATTATTTTACTTTTATTTTTAGGTTATTAGTTCTGCTTATTTTTAAACGAAAGCATTTCTATCGCATTTAGACTAAGATTTGAAATAGCATAAAAATGAAATGCTTGCGTAAGTATATTCTTTAAAGTATTTTTGTTCACATTTTGAAATGAACGCTTTTTTATTAAAGAATAATTAAAGAAAATATGGATAAATTCTTTAATTTTTAGTCCTTCAGAAATAAAATAAAGTTTACTGAGCTTAATATGCAACATTGAAGATTAACTTCATACATAAAATAGAAAATAAATTGAATAAAAATGCCTTATGGCACAGAATTGTGTTCTGAAAGTTTGTAGATAGATACTCCACCAATAATTCTGCAATTAGTCAAATATGTAAGCAGAATTAAAAAAATGCTATGACAAAAACATGTTGAGAGTGCGGTAATTGTTAGAATATAGTAACTATGGTCCAATAAGGAGCCACATAGCAAAAACACAATCAGTTAATCGTGTTGCCAACAGTAACAAAAGGTTTTAATTGGCTGCTGTCTTCAAGTAGCAAGTGTTGTTCAAAGCAATCCCAAAACAGAAACCAAATATTTGCACTGCCATCAGGTAATTCAGACAAAAACCAACATTTTTTTGTATAGTCATGGGTGCGTTAATCGGAAATCTTATGGATGTTGTTAACATGAACGCGTTAGAGTAATTTTCTCAGCGGACGAGACACACTAGCACAAGATGCAGAATTTGCTAATTTGTAAGATTTTTCAAAATTTTAAGATTTTTTATTTTATCGGACTTACTTCATGCTATTGATCTAAGCCGAACGAACTGTATGCCTTAAATTTAAAATGCTTAAATATTCCCTATACATTGACGAAAGCTATTAAATCATTGTGTTTGAACACATTGAGATATTTTATAGAAAATCTTTATTCAACAAAAACTTCTGTCTTAAAGCAATTTCACTGTTAGCAACTAATAAAGGATAATTTATTCATGCTTAGATAAAATAATTGTTTTAAGTACACTGTGTTGTCCATAATACGTAATAATAATGGATCATTTTAATAATTTTAAACTAGGCTTAGTAATGACAATTTTGTAATAATACAAGATGTTATCATTTTTTGATTTTATAAATACGGTTAAAAAAGTTACCACCGTATATTGATGCAATTATATTCGCGATTTAAATTTCTAATAGATATATAAAATTTTTTTCAATGTATCTCTTCGACTAGCAGGAATTTGATTTATATTTGTTTATTGAAAATAATCTTATTAATTTTAGCACTTTTACTCTCTATTAACTGCGAGGTTTCTTCAAAACCCCTCTTTGCGCCTTGACTGGACTATTGTTGATCACTTCATCAGACTAAGCAATAATTGACCTCAGATCTGCATACCTCACTGAGGAGCTTGTAATCATTCTGAGATTTGATAACGAGGTGTTAATTAAAATTGACATAATCTTGTCTTGATATTTTCGAAAAATCTATAAACATTGTAAACAGAGTATACGTCAATACTTAAAATTTAAAAAAAATTCATATTATGAGTTATGTAAAAATATTTAATAAGATATTCAAAAAGGTTTGTAGCTTCTTTTAATAAGAAACTATGGTTGTATTAACTATTGCGAACTGGAACTATTGTGCTATTTCAAGCAAGAAGTAGGTACAGCTATATAAAAAAATATTCTCTTAAAATATAGACTTCCGAATAAGATATGAAAGAAGTGAATTAAGTCAATCAACAAATTTTATAGAAGCGACAACTCTATTGTAAGAGTTTGCAATACACATCACACTACTTACTTGTAAGGGTTAAGTTGCATTAGATCTCGAAATTCTTGAAATTGCAAACATGCAAATATGCAAAGTAATGCAACACTTCAGCTCACCTTAAATTCAAAGTTTGAAAACCTTCATATAAAATTTCGCTGAATCATACCACAGCAGCCGACAGCATAAAGCAACTGCAACGAGCTGATATTAATCTATGTTGAAACATGTGATCATCCTTTAGGTAATGTGCCTGAAATGGTAAAAAGGACTGTGATTACAACTTGCTCATTACAAGAATTTATTACGTGACGTTGATGTTGACGCCAAAGTCGAGGTTAAAGTGCCGCCATAGCGAAAAATGTAAATTTCATAAGAATGGGTTGAGGTCTACCGTCTCTGTAAAAGCGAAATGAAAGAAAATTGTAATTGAGCAGCACACAAATTTCAGACTTAATATGCCGCTGGCATAATCTTATTTCCATTGTTGCTGTGATCTACAATTTGAAGCCATCAATCACGATCTCAATTTGCATAAATCAAGAAAAGTGTCTGACATTCATTCAAGAAGCAAAAGTGCCTCCCTAATGTTTCATGCCTACAAATCGACTTCTAAGCAGAAGAAACTCTATCCTTTGATTTTATTGTGTTTTGCCCAGCACATCATTACTGCAAAGTGCCATTCGCTGCATTTTGTTGAGTAAATAAAATTTCATATTACAGTATTCTATTGTTTCCTGAGATACTCACTTCGTTCAATATTTTCTGTTTTTACAAAGTACATAACTCATACGATTTGTGTACTCTCTAGCTGCATAAATAACTCTTCAAGGCCACGATTTAAATTCATTAAGGAAGGGTTAACGTAAGGAATAAGGCCGTAAATAGCGAAGAACAGCTTTCGTTGCAAAATGAACTTGGTACGTATACCTAAGTTAATAGACGGATTCCAGATATTTGCATTTTTAAAATAAATATAAAAAATTTTTCATAGCCTGATCACACAAAAATAATATATCATTTTATAAAAAGATTTTTTTTCGAAAAGTAGTGAACTACAACAACAAAAATTCATTTTGATATTATTTTAATTAATTGAACTTTTGGCTACCAAATACCCATCATCAGTGGTCTTGGAAATAATTCTTGTATTTAATTATTCGTAAATAGTTTTTTAAGACTGCAAGTACCAGCAATCGAACTTGTGCTCTGCCATATTTGATGCTCAGAGTCAGCGCTCCTTAACCAACTGACTCAAAGCCGTACTTGACTTTTATGTACACATTTTTTTCTGAAGTTTTGTTAATTTGCAGTAAAAGTTTTATTAAAAAATTCACTATTTATGTTTATATTAGATCGAAATCTTAAACCAGCTGTGGAAAATTGAATTAATTAATCATATTTATAGAGACTATAGGAAACTAGTGGGCTCCGATTTCTGTGAGTTTCGTCCCCCAACCCTTGTTATATATGAAACGTTCTGTTTCATATTGAACAATATGTGTGTGCTTCTAACTTTTCTCAAAAAATGTATGTCTGTTTTTCTTCTAGAGATTGTGATTGTTAGAAGCACATACATATTGTTCAATATAAAAGAGTACATATGAATATGACGTTTATCCTTTTCATGCAATCCCAACATTAAACATTAGCACTTAATTTCATTTTTTTGATTGAAACCAAATTGAAATGAAAATGATATGGCATATATATATTTATTTTGCATAAACAGACTAGATCAGAGTATTTGGTGTTTATTTCTTATATACCATTGATAAAATTTGTATACACTAGAATCCTGTTTTATATATAAAACAGGATATATTTACATATATACGATTACGACCTAAAATAAATAAATTATTGTTGTTACTTTTGAATTTGTATTTAAATAGCAAGAACGTTTTTATTGGACATGGAAGGTAAGTAATATTTCGAATATTTATAGAAATATCAACGATTTCATTTATCTGTTTATTTTTTGGTAAGAAATGGAACCTAAAATGGTTGTTAAAATCATTTGTCGTTCACTTACGACACACCCATCTTCAAGCTCTTCAATATTCAAGACATGAAAGCTCAATATTTCAACAACTTTTTTATTTTCTTGTTCTTCTTTTGTGTAAAATTATCTATCAAAATATCATGGGATATGACTTCGCCGTACAAGTACCTTACATATGTTTTATGAGTTCATTTCAAGCTAAAATATTGCTTTTAAAAATATTTTAATTGAAATGGCGACAGTTTTTTAAAAATATTAAAATATTAAGAATAATAATAAATAAATAAAAATCAGAACTCACTGGCTGTGAATGCCCTTTCAAGCGTGCTTATGTCTTAAAAGTATTTGTGTCAAGAATATCAATGTCGCCTTCGGTGAAGAGGAGTGCTGCCAGAAGTCCATATAAAAGCACTTTTAATATTTTTGTTGTTGTAATCGTAGAGTAAATCTAAAAATAAAGATATACTTAAGAAAGTGTAGGAAAGAAGTGTTTGCAAAAAATTTATTTAAAATTATATATTTATTATAACGGTAATAAGACCTTATAAAATAAATTGATAAATAATATAAGACCTTATTTATCAATTTATAAAGTTCATAAATAGCGTCAGGGCAGCGCTGGCCTTTGCCGGTCTCTTGACCAATGAGAGAAGTGAAAAATTACAGTTACAAAGAAAACAATGCTGCCAAAGTTAATAA